AAAATAAAAATGAAATATCTATTTTTGAAAACACATTAAAATAAGTTTGAAATAAATAAAATGGTTTGGAATAATTTATCGGTGAGTGGACATATAAAATACGTCAACAAAGTAGCACTCATATCATTAAAAATTATCTTGAAATTTGAAAAGAGAGTAAAATTAATTTTAAAAAAACCTAAATAAAAAGATTAAAGTTCCAAATTTTAAAATAGGGGAACAAGAAAAAGTGCAATTAAATTTTAAAAAGATAATCTAATAGATTTTATGCATACCATTAATGTGAAGGCGTTAAACATAATATCAACATATCTTTTCCCAAAAAAATTCTCAATTTAGAGGACACTGATTTTCCTTACGTACCTACAGAGGTAAAAAAGAAACAGTAATTACTTTCTTCAGTAATCTGACATTGGTGGTTAGTTAAACATAATTCCTAGATAGTATGCTGTACTTACAATGTTGTATACATTCAGTATTTACTCTTCTAGTCAATATTTTTTTCTGGAATGAAATATAATCAAAAGTTGAAGGAAACTATGAATATCAAAACTAGTAAAAGATCGATAAATAGTTTAAATATGAAGTGACACAACAGAAAGAAAAGAGAAACAGTTTTTTTTAGTAATCCAAGAGTTACAAATTCAACATTTGTGATGAGAAAAATACACAGTCCCAGTTTCTTTTGTAATCTGACAATGGTGGTTAGTGAAACATAATTTCCTTGACATGATGCTACGTACGATTTGTATCCATTCGGTAATTACTCGTCTAGTCTTGCCTTTATATCATAGATTTCTAGTTCTTGTTACTGCTTCTAGTAGTTTATTGCTGTGGTGTGTTTTGCATCAATGTTATGGTGTTCTGTCATGAGAGCAGTATTTGAAATGAAATCTTGCAGAGAATTCTGGCATGTGGCCAATAATTTGCCAGATGGAGATGGTTAGACTTGTTCCTCAATCGGTATATCGTGCAGCAGTTTCTAGGTGGGAGGAATAAGGCACTATCAGATTGCTTGGTCCCGGTGAGATCTTTTCTTAGGATGGATACTAAAAAAATTTACTTCATATATATTTTTTAAAATGGCAATTTTATCTTTATTTATTTTTTATTTTTTATTATTTATGGCAGACATCCTATGAAAAGTAGACGGAACTAAGATTTTCGGAAGACTTCAATTAATACTTCTGGTATGTTAACAATCTCTTTGAGAAGACATGAACAAAGAGTTCTGGTTTACAATAAAACATACATCGGAAGACTAACCAAAAGAGTTTCGGTTTGTTAGAAACCTATACCAGAACACTTTTTGAAAGTCATCTGATTTGTTACATCTACCAGAACACATTTTTGAAGATATCTATTTAATTAAAATTACATACCGGAACTCTTTTCTAAAGTGATCCGGTTTGCTTTTTTTTTTAATTTATAGTGCAGGTATGAAAATTTCTCCAGAAATATGTGTAGATACTTCTGATGTTTTTTCAACTACTAAAAAATTTGGTACATGAGAAGAGGTGATAAGGTGGATTAAAGAGGTTGGAATCCGAAGTAAAGTAACTGTTATTATCACTCGTTCAGATACTGAAACAGACAAGAGAGAAAGAAGTAACAAATTAATATTTGGTTGTGATAAAGGTGGGAAACACAAGGATACTGATAATGGTACCCAAAGTGCAACGAAAAATGTGGATATCTACTTAAAATCGACTCCGGCAAAAGATGGGTCTTAATGGAAGGTTGATGTAAAATGCGGAGAGCATAACCATGGTTTACCTAATAGATTAGAAAGTCATTTCTTTGTTGGTAGGTTGACCACAGATCAGAAGCAGCATGTTGTTGATTTGACACAGAGACATGTTCCACCTAGACACATATTATTTTCCTTGAAAGAGCGAGATTTAGAGAATGTCACTCGGATCACGCAAATATATAAGCGTAAGAGTATGATAGAAAAAGAGATAAGAATGCGGGTTATGTTTATTATAGTAGAAAAAGAGATGACTCTGAAGTTATTAGAGATATATTTTGGGCCCATCCAGATTCAGTTAAGTTGTTGAATATTTTTCTATTGTGTTAGTTATGGACAACACCTACAAAACAAACAAATATAGGCAACCTCTGTTTGAAATTGTTGCCATGACATCAATCGAGTTGACTTTTTCTGTCGCGTTTGCGTATATGGAGTCTGAGCAAACTGAGACTTTTTGTTGGGTGTTAGATAAGCTTAAAGAATTGTTTGTGAAGAAAGATTTGTGTCCACAAGTGATTGTGACAAATAGAAATCTTGCTTTGATGAAAGCAATTAAACTGTGTTTCTAAGGTCGACCAATTTGCTATGCCGATTTCACATTAACAAAAATATTGGTGCAAAATGCAAGCAATATGTGGTTAGTGACATGCAAAAGAAGATCGATGACTTATGGATGGAAGTTTTTTCGGCCAGTGACGAGGTTGAGTATGATCAACGGTTGCAACAACTTGAGCAGGCGTGTGTTGATTATAATGAATTTCTTGCTTATGTGAAAGACACATGGTTGACACCACATAGACAGAGATTTGTTAGAGCATGGATTAATCGAGTGCTACATTTGGGTAACATCACAACTAATCGGTATGCATCTTTTTATTAATATTTTTTTACTATGTATTTATTTTAGTATTTTTTAATTGTATATTTTTAAGTATTTTTAATATGTATTATTTTTAGGGTTGAGTCTGCTCATTGGAAGTTAAAGTAGATGTCGGAGAATAGTATAGGTGACATGGTCAAATGTTGGGAGGCTATGAATAACAACTTAAAATTACAAGTGGGCAACATTAGGGCTTCTTTTCAAAAGAGTTTTTATGAAGTTGAGCACGCTCACGTAAGTCCATTTTACAATAGTTTACATGGTTCAGTATCTCGAGCTGCATTGAGACGCATTGCTGAAGAGTTAACACGAGTTTATTATGTTGGAACTAACAAGGAAATATGTCGTTGTACTCTTAGAACAACCTATGGATTACCTTGTGCTTGTGAGTTGACAGGATATAGAATTGGTGGTATACTGATACCAATAGATGTTGTGCATGTTCATTGGAGGAAACTAAGTATCGAATTTAAGTTGGAGGAAGACGTAGATGATGGATCAGAGGTGGATATGAGTAGTGCAATAGATGAGTTATGGAAAAGGTTTAGGTCACTAGATGTTGTTGGGAAAAGGGCATTAAAAAGTAGGGTTTTCGAACTTGCCTTCCCCACAATGACTTCATTGTGTCACCACCTGAAAAAATAAAAACCAAAGGGGGAGTCAAGAAGAAAGGCAAAAAAACCAGTAGGGTATGATGTTTATAGGGACCATGTGTATCATGAGTATGTTGATCAAGCATCTCAATCTTCACAAAGGCAATCTCAACCATCACAGACTTCGAAGAAGTTGAAATTATCATAATCTTCACAGAAGAAATCTCAACCATCACAGGCTTCGAAGAAGTTGAAATTATCACAATCTTCACAGTGATCTAAGCAGTTTATTCTTCAGTTTCCTAATTACATCAGGACATATATTGATGATGTAGTTAATGTTGTACCAGATGGTAATTTTGGATTTAGAGTCATTGCTTCATTGCATGGATATGGTGAAGATGGTTGGCCAATGGTTCGTCGAGACTTGGGGGTTGGAAATAATACATAATGAAAGATAAAGTTTGTATGTCAATTTATTTGTTGATTAGATAGCAGAAGTGAGAGAATCTTTGATGATAGAGGCATTTGGTCCTCAACCACCACAGAAATTGTTGACTCTACAGATATGGGTTACTTGATAGTGTATCATTATAATGTTGTACTTGTCTATTTAGGATTTGAATGTTGGACTTTCTTCCATATGACAACTTCATTTTCACCAAATGTATCCTTTTACTGCATTGGTTTTGTAAACACAAATTATTGGGTTCAGGTACTTAGTTATTTTTAGTTAATGTGACTAACCTAATTTCTTAGTTATTTTTACTTAACGTTTTGATTATTTTTTTATTCAGGTAAACATGAAAGAAGGGTTTCCATTGCCACCAGTGACAGTAGATTGGAAGAAGTTTCGTTCTTCAGCAACAACATCTTGGATGCTAGGATTTGCAAGACGTCTACAATATTGGCAACAACTTACGCCTATATTACCAACACATTATGAATTATAAATTATGTTATTCATTGTTAATTTCAAAACACGAATCATGAATTATATTATTCATTTTTAATTTCAAAACGTGAATCATGAATTATGTTATTCATTTTTAATTTCAATAACACATAACTGGATTTAAAACTAAACATAAGCCTACAAGTTAACACATAAACATATCCCAACTAGGTCAAGTGAGTCTAAAAGTTAATACATAAACATAAACATAAGTCAATAAGTCTAAAAGTTAACACATAGAAATAAACATAAATATAAGTCAATGTGAACGAGAAATACGAAAAGCTTCAAATAAATCAGTAAACTATGGATCATCCTCTTCGGCATCAACCTATCGAAGATAAGGATGAATCAATGTCGAAACACGAGCCCGACTAGGATCAGATGGTCCTGCATCGTAAAGAGGAACTGACACCTCTCTTGGTGCATCATAAGAGGGCGGTACCAAACGAGGATGCGAAACACGATAATACCACTCAAGATATCCATCATCTGTCTCAGATGAGATGGTGGTCAGTGTTGTCGAATGAATCATAGTAAGGATACTATGATGGTAACCAATCCACTCAACATCAATATCATCAGCCATCATGTATCAGGAGGTGGGGTGGAATATATTGCCTGTATCCAAATTGACGTATACATCTGTCAGGCAAATATAAAACAATTACGTCACCCCATTTCAGACATCCCCTGTACATACATATCTCATCAAATTGACACCATACTCTATGATCCTCGAACAGCCGCCAGATGACGTCGGCAGGTGTCAGCTCATCCAAAACAGGTCGCAAATCATCCACCTTCAGGACTCCTTGCTTATAGGATGATCTCATCGCTCAAGGGAGACACAATTTTACGCTGGTATCTAATTCTCTTCCCTTTTCCAAGTGTTGGAAAATAATCGTGAATCCAACACTGTTACAAAATTAATAATATTAATTAACTAAATAAATTTATTCATAACATAATAAAATAAAAAAATGAAATTTATATACTAAATAAAATTAATTAAAATATAATAAACCAAATTAAAATAAATACCTGTAGGAGAGTAGGATAACCACCAAGTTGCTTGCAACCGAACATAGAAGCATCTCCAAGATGACTGTAAAGGGTAACCAACGCAGCAGCTCCCCAATTATATCCTGATAATTTGTCCAAGTCCGTAAATAGTAGGATGTATCGGGCCTCGACAAGCGTAAAGGTCTTGTCGGCAAAAATTATGGAACCCACCAACATTACAAATACGCTCTAGTTGCATATTCTCATATAGAAGCATCTTTATGCTCTTTGAATAAATCGTATAACCACTCCAACTTATAGTAAGAACCCTTGCAATGACGGACATGTTCTTGCGCCCTATACCGTGACACTCCTAAGTAATCAACAACAAGTCCAACAACAGTCGCTTCTGTGATATGTTACGGAGGCCAGAACACTCTTCTGATGGGCAAGTGAAGCAGACAAGAGACATCATCCAGAGTAATTCTCATCTCAACAAACGGCATGTGAAATGAATATGTCTCTATATGTCATCTCTCCACAAATGCAGAAACCATGTTTGTGTCTATCTTCGTCAAACTGGTTCTCTGGAGTGAAGATAGACCAGACCTAAAAACCCAACTCTCCATCTTTCTTGGAAGTTGTTATGGAACCCTCACTACAAGCTTCAGCCCATGTCCAACAACCTTTAGCTCTTTCTTCGGGCCTCTCTTCTGAAAACAATTAAAAGTACGAATATTATAAAACACAACATTAAAAATTCAATATTATTCAATATCAAATACATGTCGTTTACTTACCTCACAAAACCATAATGCCTGAAAACATGTTGCTCGTATCTAACCAACAGAGATGTATCGTAAGGCCCTCCTAGATAGCTAATTGGCGGTGCTGCAGATGCGGATGCACCAATATCCTCTTTTTCATCAACAAATCTCGATGAAGTTCTCCGTTCTAAAGCACCCCCTGATGTCCTAGCGCCTCGTGTTCGCACCACTGAAAAAATAAACAAACAAACAAAAATAAGTGAAAAAAAAAACAATATCGGAACACATATCAAATGAGTTCTGGAACTCGACAAGCACAATACCGGAAGTCATTTCATGACTCTTCCTGAATATAATCAAAATTGAACCGGAACAAATTTGAGAAGTCTTCCGATACACACTTTAACAAACCAGAAGACTCTTAAAATGAGTTCCAGTGAACAAATTAAAATATTTCAATCTGGAACTCTTACTTTATCTATTCCAAAGACAAAATGTGAACCAAATGTCTTTGATGAAGTGTTCCGGGGAATAAAATGTAAACTATATGTCTTTGATGCAGTTTTCCGGAGAATAAAATGTAAACCAAATGTCTTTGATGAAATGTTCCAGTTTGGAGAGTATATTTTGTGTTTTCCGGAAGTCTTTGACAACGTAAATGGAAAGTGCAAGGGTTCTAAGAGATATGTCTATTTATATGAGGGTATTTTGGTCCAAATTTTGTGTGTGTGGGGGTAGGAGAATAATTGTAGGGGTACGTGGTAAATTTTTCTGGATACTGGGTCGGTTTGGTTAAAGTCGGGTCAAAAATATCAAATCGGTCCAAGTTATGGGTCAAATGTTTATGCTCAATTTCGAATGAATTGTATTTCAATTTAATCGGGTTCGGTTTAATTGGTTTATAGATTAATACGGATTGGTTTATTCGATTAGTTAATCCTTATTTTTACTATAAAAAAAATCAGTATATAAAAGTTTCCTCCATTTTAAGTTTTTTTAAATGTTTTAAGCTACATAAAAATAAAATAAATGACCATAGTGCAAAACCACAACACAACCATGTAAATATTATAACGCAAATGGCCTACTATGAATCACAAAATCACAACACATCTGTCTAAATATTACAACATATGTGGCTCCAAAGTAATACAAGGTCATGATTAAAGTTTAGTCCTCAATCCATTCTTGATTGTCTTCCAAGTTTTAAGTCATATGTGGTTTCAAGGGCTACTCGTGGATTCAAGATGTTTTAAGATGGCCCAAGTTGTTTTAAGATGATTATAAGGTTTTAGCTATGCCTCAAGACATATTTCAAGGGCCATGATGTTTGAAGCCATGATTAATACATTGTCAAGTTATATTTCAATATTTTCAAGACATGTTTGGTCTAAGTGGAAAACCATGTTTTCAAGCTTTATTGAAAATTTTAAGTTATATGAGCCAGGATTTCAAGTCAAGTGATGTTGCCAATCATGTGGGTTAATTTACGCCAAGGTTTGCATGTTCAAGGTCATTGCGATTCACATCCAAAAGTTACAAGTCATCATTCAAGAAGATTCAAAATTTTGAGCTTAAGAACATTCAAAGATTAAAGTTCACATCGTACAAAAGATTCATTCAAAGTTCCCACACTTTTTCCACATTTAAAAATTCAATTTGGACTTTACATGCTAAGCTCAAGTCATTTTCATGGCAAAATTTAAGTTATAAGATTCAAAGTGTACAAGGATTGAAGCTTTTCACAAAATGCAAGAATTGAAACTCACAAGTGTTCAAGAGTTATTTACAAATCAAATTCAAAATTCAATTTATTATGGAAGTTCAAGATTTTGAAGAATTACAAATATTAAAGTTCTAAGACACCAAGGCACATCAACTAGCAGAAAAGAAAAGGAGGAGAGATTGGACCACATGATGAACAATGCAGATCGTTTGAAAAGATCAACAACATCTTTTAATTACAACATCCTCCGCCTGCTGTTTTTGACACAAATATTCAACTCACGTGTCTAAATGCTTCATTAATTTTCTTCGTCCACGGTTGATGAGCCAGAGAGGAATCAAAAGACGTATTACATTCTTGGCACTAAAGAGCTTGCAATTACTTTTCTTTCATGTTGATGTTCTCAAACAATAGCAGCCCTTGTTCATGACAGCATCGTTACAAGACGAAAACATGATCAAAGGAAGCGCAATGAATATTAAGAACTTTTCATATAGAATTACAGTAAGAGGTGGATACTTGGTATTTAACACATTCATATCATAGTAGCACTCCTGCCTTTTCTTGGAGATTTCATGAGCCACTAGAGGCAGTAACTTTAGCAAGAAAATTACATAAAAAGGTATCTAAGGAAAACCACAAAGAACAACTTTTAAGCTTTTGACAAAACTTGGACAATGGAATCATACGAACTGGTTCTTTATTGGACCAGCAAAGTACTGAAGCTGGCAAGCATCATCAAGAATCAGTCCTGATATATATTAATGTTGAAGGAAGGCTATGTTTTCCCCCGACCTAATGACGTTCCCTCTAAAAAAATTGGTGATGTGCAAAGGTCTCAGAATTCAAAGAGGAAGCGGTTGTTCGCAGATTTGTTGGGTCTGCCATTTTCGATGAATCAAAGGTGGAGAATGTTTGTCACAACGGTTTAGTAAATCCCACAATCAACCGTGAAAGCTAGCATCAGGCAATAACCGTTGAAAATATCCATAACCTGTTCAAGACAAAGTCAAAAGTAAAGAATCATCAAGCAAGCATAATCACGAGAATCATAACACGATTTTCCTTCCAAAAACATCCGCAGACATGCCGAATTGAAAAAGAAAAGAATGTCATGAACCTGTCCAAACATAATCAGACAAGAAAACAAATTTCATTATGGAAAGATCAAATATATTCAAGACAATTTCGAATTCTTTCCAAAACAACATTAGACACATTTAATCGAGAATTAACTCGTAACTCCCTATAAAAGAATCGCACGTCGGACAAGGGGATTTGGAGCGTAAACTTCCAAACATCAGTAAAGGAGAATCACATACGCAATACTCATAGGCATATATATAAACACATAGATACAAAGCCAAAGCATATTTTAAGCATTCAATGGAGTAAAATACATACGACACGATATATGCGACAAACATAGCACATAATTTGATACATTTTGTGAACATGAATATTGAGAGAGATGTTAGTTAAGGAAGGATATTATGTCAACTCCAAATATAGTAAGATGCACACACATGTGACTTTTAACATCTTCAATTGTTAGATATTAGATGAACAAAGTACATATAGACATTGACATATATAATGTGTGAGAAATTTGACTAAACACGATCCGAAATATCAAGAACACCTAGTTCCCGTCGGATATGAAAGAAAGGCTCAGTAGCAAGAGGTTTTGTAAAAATATTAGCTAGTTGATTTTTAGTATCAACATGCTCAAAAAGCACATCGCCTTTCTCCACGTGATCCCTAAGGAAGTGGTGCCGAATTTCGATATGTTTGGTGCGTGAATGCAGCACAGGATTCTTGGTAAGATTAATGGCACTCGTGTTGCACAGAAAATTGGAATACGGTCTAGTTTGAGATTAAAGTCGAGCAATTGTTGCTTAAGCCATAGGACATGAGCTCAACAACTGCCGGCTGCGACGTATTCCACTTCAGCGGTTGACAAAGCAACAAATACATGCTTTTTGCTATGCCAACTTACCAAAGAGTTTGAAAATAAGTGACACGTCCCACTAGTACTTTTCCTATCTGATTTGCACCCTGCAAAGTCAGAATCGGAGAATCTAACCAAGGAACAATCTTTTCCCTTAGAATACCATAGCCCATACTTTGGAGTACCCGAAAGGTATCTAAGTATGCACTTAACTGCTTTTAGATGGGATTCCATAGGAGAATATTGATACCTAGCGCACATACATACACTAAACATAATGTCGGGTCTAGAGGCAGTAAGATAGAGGAGAGATCTGATCATACCTCGATACTTTTTCAGCTCTACATCCTTACCGCTTTCATCTCGACATAGATTCGCACATGTTGGCGTTGGTGTATCGATAGCTTTGGAGTTTGCCATATCAAACCGCTTGAGAAGTTTAAGACAATATTTCGTCTGGCTCACAAAGGTACCTTCCTCAAGCTGCTTGATTTGTAATCCGAGAAAATATGTGAGCCCCTCTATCATACTCATCTCGAATTCTCCCTGAATTAGATTAGAAAACTCCCTTACGAGATTCATGTTAGTTGATCCAAAAATGATATCATCAACATAAATTTGCACCAAAATTAAGTGTTTTCCTTGACGCTTAATGAAGAGGGTTGTGTCGACCTTACCTCTTGAATACCCTTGCTCAAGTAGAAACTTGCTTAGACGTTCATACCAAGCCCTAGGGGATTGCTTGAGTCCATACAAGACACGTTTTAACTTGTAAACATGATCAGGATATTCA